CTTGCCAGTTCCCTTTCCGCCTCCTTAAGATTCCGGTTCCCCTCCTCATCCTCGGTGGCAGCGTTGGCCAAGCCGGACTCGGAGCTCAGCATCAATCCCCCGCTCCCCGAGCGCACGCCGTTCTTGAAGTTCAACAGGAACCGAATTCTAGTCCGGCTCCCTGATGATGATGGTGGTGACGATAATGATGATGACGACGACTACGATGATGATGATGATGATGACGATGGTGATGATGATGATGATGATTATGATGATGATGATAATGACGATGACGATGATGATGATGGTGAAGGTGATGATGGTCAAGGTGATGATGATGATGGTGATGATGATAGTGGTGGTGGTAATGATGCTGATCATGATTGTGATGAGGATGATGATGCTGATGATGATGATGGTGGTGGTGGTGATGATGATGGTGGTGGCGCTGGAGATGGAGATGGATACGAAGATATTGATGATTGTGTTGCTGATGACAACGGCGATGATGGTGATGGCGATGGTTTTGGTGAGGATTGGTGATAACGACGGTGGTGATGGTGAAGGCCAGATAGTGATGATGATATGATGATGGTGTTGATGATGATGATTCTAGTGATGATTATGATTAGGATGATATTGATGGTGATGGTCATGATGATGATGACGATGCTGACGATGATGACGATGAGGATGATGATGGTGACGATGATGATAGTGAAAATGATGATGATGATGACGATTATGATGATGATGATGATGATGATGATGATGATGATGATCATGATGATGATGATCATGATTATGATGATGGTGATGATGATGGTGATGATGATGGTGTTGGTGGTGGTTATGCTGACTTTGTTGATGATGATGGGCACGCTGATGTTGTTGCTGTTGTTTATGCTGATGTTGATGCTGATGATGATCATGATTGTGATGATAATGATGAGGATGATGGCACTGATGATGATGACGATGCTGACGACGATGATGATGATGTTGCTGCTGTTGCTGCTGATGATGCTGCTGATGATGATGCTGTTGATGATGATGAAGGTGATGATGATGATGATGATGATGATGATGATGATGATGATGATGATGAACATCATCATGGCGGTGGTGGTGGTGATGCTCATGATGATGCTGATGAAGCTAATGATGATGCTGATGATGATGCTGATGATGATGACGGTGATGATGGTGGTGATGATAATGATGGTGATGATGAGGATGATGATGATGATTTGGATGAGGATGATGATGAATACGCTGCTGATGATGATGATGATGGTGATGCTGATGATTATGATGAGGACGCTGATGATTATGATGATGATGATGATGATGATGATGATGATGATGATGATGATGATGATGATGCTGATGCTGATGCTGATGATGATGACGATAACGACGATTCTGATGATGGTGGTGATGATAATGATGATGCTGATGATGATGCTGAGGATGCTGCTGATGCTGCTGATGATGCTGCTGATGATGAATGTGAAGATGCAGATGACGATGATGCTGATGCTGATGATGATGATGCTGCTGCTGCTGATGATGATGATGATGATGACGATGGTGATGATGGTGATTGCGAGGAGGAGGAGGAGGGGGAGGAGGAGGTGGAATGGGGGTTGCTGGAACTGTCCGTTACGCTATCTGTAGGTGTTTGTACCCCGCGGGGTAGCGGGCGCACCGTGCCGTGTGCCAACACCCGCCTCTGTAGGCTTGGAACTTCCGTTGACACACCTCGCACCGCAAACAGCCTTTACTTTTGACCACCTAGCGGCCAGCCGCCCGAAGGCGCAGACGACGCACAAAGTCGGTAGGCAACGCCCTCGGACGAGGAGGCGGCTTACCTACCCGATCGGCCTCATTGCGAGAGCAGGTGAAGCTAGCTTCTCTGTTGACATCGAGCAGCCGCAATATAATTTGGGAAGTTAGCACATGTGAACGAGCAGCCGGAGGAATGCGTTCATCTCAGCACGCGGAATTGACGGAGGATAACTATAGGGAGGGGAGGGGGGGGGGTAAGCGTTGTATCTCCGCCCCTTGGAACAACGCTCGTGTAAGGGTTGTCGAGGCTTTACATAATCTGTGGTTCTCATCATCATGTAGAGTTTCTTCGCTCTCCCTTCGTCGTCGTCGTCGTCCTCCTCCCCCGTCTCCTACATGATTCCTTTTGAAGTCCACATATAAAGGGATTTGTTTGTAATTCGCCAGAAAGGATATCCTTTTTGTAATCCGCCACAGAAGGGAATCCTTTTGGAATCCGCCACAAAAGGAATCCTTTTGTAATCCACTGCAAAGGAATTTCTTTTGGAATCCGCCGCAAAAGAAATCCTTTTGTAATTCGCCACAAAAGGAATCCTGTTGGGATCCGCTACACAAGGAATTCTTTAACGCGGACGTACAAGTTGACCGATTGCTCAGGGGGTATCAGGGAAAACATAAAAAAAACAGGGAACAAGAAACGCAAGGACAAAAACGTATGGACTCGCATGTTTTTTGTTGATTTTTTGTTGGGTACCACCGCCACCAAAGGGAATCCTTGTGTAATCCGCAACCAAAGGAATCCGTTTGGAACCCCCCACAAAAGAAATCCTTCTGTAATCCGCCACAGTATGAGTCCTTTGTGTAATCCGCCATAAAAGGAATCAAGAAATTCTTTTGGAACCCGCTACAAGAGGAATCCTTTCGTAATCCGCCACACAACGAATCCTTTGGGATCCGCCACACAAGGAATCGTTTTCGAATCCGCCACAAAAGAAACCGTCTTGGAATCCGCCGCACAAGGGACCCTTTTCGGAATCCGCAACAAAAGGAATTCCTTTCGGGAGGACGCACAAGTTGACCGACGGCCCAGGGGGTACCAGGGATCACGTGTTTTGATGATTTTTTGGTTGGGTACCACCGCCACAAATGGAATCCTTATGTAATCCTTTTGTGGCGGATTATAAAAGGATTTCTCTTGTGGCGGAAAACAAAATGATTCCTAATGTGACGGGTTACAAAAGGATTCCTTGTGTGGCGGATTCCAGGGGGTTCCTTTTGTGGCGGATCACAGAAGGATTCATTTTGTGGCGGGGGTACCCAGCCAACAAATCATCAGAAAACGTGAGAGTCCCATGCGCTCCGTGGTACCCCCTGAGCCCTCGGTCAACCTGTACGTCCGCCTTAAAGGAATTCCTTGTGTAGCGGATCCGAAAAGGATTTTTTTGTGGCGGGTCACAGAAGGATTTCCTTTGTGGCGGATTCCAAAAGGATTCCTGTTGTGGCGGATTGCACAAGGATTCCTTGTGTGGCGGATTACAAAAAGGGTTCCTTTTGTGGCGGATTCCACAAGAATTCCTGTTATGGCGGATAAGAAAAGGATTCCTTGTGTAGCGGGTTCCAAAAGAATTTTTGTATTCCTTTTGTAGCGGATTGCAAAAGGGTTCCTATTGTGGCGGACTACAGAAAGATCCCTTTTGTTGTGGATTTCAAACGGATTCCTTTTGTGGCGGATTACAAATGTTTCCTTTTGCGGCGGTGGTACCCAACCAAAAAAAATCAAAAAACGTGAGATTCCCGTGCGTTTTGGGTTTTTGTTTCCCCCTCTTTTTTGTTTGTTTCTCGTCCCTGGTACCCCCCGGGCCGTCGGTCAAATTGTGCGTCCGCCTTAAAGGGATTCCTTTTGTGGCGGATTCAAAAGGATTCCTTTTGTGGCGGGTTCCAGAAGAATTCTTTTTGAGGTGGGTTGCAGAAGAATTCCTTTATTCCTTTCGTGGCGGATTACACATCGATTCCTTTTGTGGCGGATTACAAAAGGATTTCTGTTGTGGCGGATGCCAAAAGAATTCCTTTTGTGGCGGATTCCAAAATAATTCCTTTTGTGGCAGAGTACAAGCGCCCACCGCCGCCCACCGCCGCCCACGCGTTTTTTTTCTCGTTGAATATATTATTATTATCATTATTATTATGATTATTAGTGTTTTTATTATTATTACTACTAATTTTTAATGGGCTGGTTTAGGCGGTTCTAAATGAAGCCTTCGGGTGCCTTCGGGGTGCCTTTCGGGTGCCTTCGGGTGCTCTCCGAGCGCTCTCCCCGGCGCCGCAGGAAGTAAGAAATTTGATGCCTCGACGGTGTTTCTTTTGTCCCCTCTTTTTCCCCGTGTGTCTCCTTTGTCCCTGTTGTCCCCGTTGTCCCCTTTTGTCCCCTTTGCTCCTGTTGTCCCCTTTGTCCCCCCGCTTTGTCTCCTTTTTGTCCCCTTTGTCCCCTTCGCCTTCTTTGTCCTCTTTGCTCCCCTTTTGTGCCCTTTGTCCCCTTTGTCCCCTCTGACCCCTTTGCCCCTTTTGTCCTCTCTTTGTCCCCTTTTGTCCCCTTTGCCTCCTTTGTCTACTCTTTGTCCCCTTTGTCCCCTTTGTCCCTTTTGTCCCTTTTTGGCCCCTTTGTCCCCTTTTGTCCCCTTGCTCCTTTTGTCCCTTTTGTCCCCGTTTTGTCTCCTTTTGTCCCCTTTGCCCCCTTTGCCTTCTTTGTCCTCTTTGTTCCCCTCTTTGTCCCCTTTGTCCCCTTAGTCCCCTCTGACCCCATTGCCCCTTTTGTCCTCTCTTTGTCCCCTGTTGTCCCCTTTTGTCCCCTTTGCCCCTTTTGTCCTCTCTTTGTCCCCTGTTGTCCCCTTTTGTCCCCTTTGCCCCTTTTGTCTCTCTTTGTCCCCTTTTGTCCCCTTTGTCCCCTTTGTCCCCTTTTGTTCCCTTTGCAGCCTCTTTGTCCCCTTTTGTCCCCTTTGCTCCTTTCGTTCCTAATTCGCGTTGTGATCCCATGACTTAACTGCTCGAGCTCGCTGTTCAGGGGCTGATGCGTACTTGCGGTTGCCTGTGGTGCCACTCACTGGAGTGCCCCTGTGCGTAGCTCAGCAGCGCTCGTTCAGCAGCCCCCCAACTCAGAGATTCAGAGGAACTCAAACGGTAGCGAAGTCGCTGCAGAACCGTACGGTATATGATGTTATGTGAATTTGTCCATGGTCGATGGGAATATACCAGATCCAGAAGGTTCCCAATCGGATGTCAATGGAATTGAGCAGAGCCCGAATCTATAGGATCCCAAGTTGACTGCAATAGAAGTCACATCGGGATAGTGCAAACCAGATGCAAAGGCATCCAGATTCGATTGCAAGAGTATGACAATTGGTTTCATTGTGGTTGTAGCAGGCCCCAAACCCACAGGAGTCAATTGATTGTTAATCAGTACAAAAAAAAAAAACATGTTCCAGGGGGCGGACATACAACCTCCACGGGAGGGGGGGCAGGACTAGGAGAATGAGGAGGAGGAGGAGAGGGAGGAGGAGGACGAGGAGGAGGAGGAGGAGGAGGAGGAGGAGGAGGAGGGGGAGGAGGAGGAGGAGAAGGAGGAGGAAGGAGGAGGAGGAGGAGGAGGAGGAGGAGAAGCAGGCGGAGGAGGAGGAGGAGGGGGTGTCTATTGACATCGATGAATTCATCCCGCTGTTATAATTCGGTGCGCTCCTGACGGAGGTTGCTCTCTTCGTTCGACTTTCAGGTGCATGTGCGCTTCTTCTTTAAAAAACAGGAGGAGGACATCAACACAACAGGAGGAGGAGGAGGACGAGGAGGAGGAGGATGGTCCGGAGCCACTTTGGCTCAAGCCATTTGGGCTCCAGCCAGTTTGGCTCCAGCGGGCCCGCCGGGCCCGTGCTGCGGCGGCGACGACGGCGGCGGCGACGAACACGGCGACGAGCGCGGCGGCGACGAGCGCGGCGGCGGCGCCGCGCGATTGCGGCCGCGGTGCCTGCGAAGTACCCGCTCGCCACCGCCAACAGCTACGAGAACTACCGCTCCAGCGAGACCAGACCCGCGGCCGACATAGTCAAGTGGGAGATCGTGGAGATCCGAGGCTGGCGGCCAGAAGACGCATAGCCTACGCAGGCAGGAATGGGCCTGCCTATATTATCCAGAGGCCTTACTCTTGTATAGATTAACCAGACCACGCCAAACCAATCTGGCGCTGATGTGGGGGCCTACGCTCAGGCATCCAGCGACCATCGTAATGACTGGCATCATATTGTTTGGCACTAGAAAGGCTGGCATCAGCACTGCGAAGACCATCGAAGCATTTTCGAGAACATACGACGGGAACCAGATGCGCTCCTACGAGGACCAGCGGCGCCCCCACGAGGACCAGCAGCGCCCAAGCGAGGAACGAGGACAAATCAGCAGCGCTCTTATGAGGACCATCAGCACCCCTGCGAGGACCAGCGGCGTTCCTATGAGGACCAGTGGCGCTACAACCAGATGCGTTCCTACGAGGACCGGCGGCGCCCCTACGAGGACCAGCAGCGCCCCTACGAGGACCAGCGGCGCTCCTACGAGGACAAGCGGCACTACAACGGGAACCAGAAGCGCTCCTACGAGGACCGGCGGCGACCCTACGAAGACCAGCGGCGCTACAACGGGAACCAGAAGCGCTCCTACGAGGACGAGCGGCGACTTCCTTGCAAAGACCAGCAGCGTCTCTACGAGAACCGGCTGCGCTGCGACGGGGACCAGCAGCGCTCGTGCCAGGACCAGTTGCGCTCCTACGAGGACCATTGGCGCTCCTACGAGGACCAGCGGCGCTGCAGCGGGGCCAGACGCTTTCCCGCGAGGACCAGCTGACCCCGTGCGAGGACCAGCGGACTTCCTACGAGGACCAGAAGTCCTCCAACCAGGGGAGGTGCGCCCACCGGGACCAGAAACGCTCCTACGGGCACCAGCGAGCTACAACGACCAGGAGGGCCGCAACGGGAACCAGAAGAGAACCAACGAGGACCAAAACGCCCCCTCGTCGCTTCGGATGAACGCAGCTCGAACAAATTCTCGCCTGGTCCGGGAAGCACAGGTCTTCGTCCCGACCTACGTTGACGTCGAGGGCGGCGCCGGGGGCTACGCGGCCCCGTGCGCAACGGACAAACGTCATCACCATCGACCGCGCCGAGATTCAGCATTACGTCAGTGCGCTCGCGGCAGAGGTGGGAGGCCACTGCGACGCTCTCACTGGCTCACTGGCTCCAAAAACAGCGAAGCTGCTGAGGGCGCTTGCTCGTCGGGGCAGCCCTCCGCGCCGGCCGTCTCCTACCCCGCTAAAGACCTCGTCGAGGAGGTCGCCGGAGGCTGCGAGGGCCGCCGCCGCCCGCCGAAGCGCGGAGGCCTTGGTCCGCTTCGACCTCGGCCGCGAAGTCTTACGAATCGTCCGAGGCGGGGCGCCAGGCAGAGGCCCCGCTCCCCTGCGAGGCGGAGGCCGGTCGGCCGGATCGCGAGCTTCGCATCCACATCGATGCCAGCCAGGCAGACCCGGATTTTGCGTGGTGGGCACGAGTATTTCGCAAGCGCAACCAGCGCGCATATTGCATTTGGAAGATGGCAGGGGTGCAAGCACAGTTGGCCCCTCTGCGTCCCGCGGTTCCGAACACTATCCTGGAAGAGGCCTTCGACAAGGCCGCCCCCATCGCCTACGACCTCATCGCCCGCAACTCCAAGGCCATGGATTAGCACTTTCGACGGCGCCCCCCAAAGGGTCGACTCTTCTCAAGACAGGCCGGAGGTTTGGAATTACTGGGTGATCACCCGCGCCAGCACCAGCGCCCTGTCTTTGGTCACCATCCTGAGTCACCATAGTGGGATGGGGCATCACATTTTTGTATTACTCCTGCACGCCGCAACGCGGCGCGGCATTCCTTCCGGAGAGATGGGCGCTGGACGCCGATCTCCCCGCAGGGGACGCGCCTAATTACCCGCGAAGTCTGCGTGCCTTCGCTCCGTGGCACGGGGCGGGAGGTTGACGGAGACTGCCAGAGGGGCAGCACGAGTACCAGCGACCCTAACCATAGAGCCGCCGATGCTGCCGCAGCCACCTTCGTGACCCCCCTGGGTTTTTTTTTCGGGGTGCGTCGGCTATGTTGGCGACCCTCTTCCTCCCTTTTCCCGCCCTCCTCTGTCGTGCCTGCTGCTCGCCCTCGCTCCTCCTCCTTCTCTCTCCTGTCCTCCTGTTGCTCCTCCTCGCGTCGTCCGTCCGTCGGTCTCCCTGTCTTCAAGGGTCGCCCCATTTTCGGCTTGACCTCCAGCCCAAGTTTTCACCGCGCCCTCCCCCCCCCTCGTTTCATCGACGCGATCTGCAACGCCACTATAGCAGTGGGGCCGTTGCTCTCGCTCTGTTAGGGAGAGGATGGGAGGATGAGGAGGAGGAGGAGGAGGAGGAGGAGGAGGAGGAGGAGGAGGAGGAGGAGGAGGAGGAGGAGGAGGAGGAGAGGAGGAGGAGGAGGGGAGGAGGAGGAGGGGAGGAGGAGGAGGAGGGGGGGGAACGCGACGAGGAATTCCACCATTCGTGGTGGCGCAGTCCGCAGGCTGTAGCTTGTTGTTGTTGTAGGAGGAGGAGGGGGGAGACAATTATCATGAGGGATTAGAATAGAGGGATGAGGAAGGAGGCAGGGATGGGGGAGGGGGGTCAGGAGCAAAAGTGACATTGATACGATGGAGGAGGATACGAATGACGAGAATGACTGGGAGGATGACAAGGAGGGATACAAACGTCAGAAATTGGATTGGCGGGTGAGTTGAAGAGGACAGGTTCCCTCCCGTGGACATGTCGCTGGTGAAGCAGGTCCGTGCGAAGTACGGCTGTTCAGTAAACGACGCCCTCATGGCGGCGCTGGCTGGGGCCCTGCGCCGCTTCGACGCCGACGAGCTCGGCGACCAGAGGCTGAAGGGCGCCCCGTCCGCTCCTTTTCCTCCATTCCTTTTCCCTAGAAGTAATTTCTCCTTGTCGTACCCCTAGACCTGTTTTTAAGGCGGGCCGGGCGTTTCGCATGAGATTTCCTCACGGCTTATGATTCTGAAGCTTCAGAGTTGGCAACAGCTTCGCAGATGGAGGGCGGGTCGTTTTCAAAATGTGGTTCTCGCCTGAGCGCGGCGCACATTCGTTTTAAACATGTGACAGCGTTTCACGGATTGAAGGTGGCCCGTTTTCGAAATGTGGCTCCGCTTTAGCGCGGCGCACATTCGCTTCAAACATTTGCAGGAGTTTCACGGATTGAGGGCGACACGCTTTCGAAATGTGGTTCTCGCCTTCGCGTGGCGCACATTCGCTTTAAAAGTTTGCAAGAGTTTCACGGATTGTTGGTGGTCTCTTTTCAAAATGTGGCTCTCGCCTTAGCGCCGCGCGCATTCGTTTCCAACAATTACAAGAGTGCCTCGGGAATCCCGTCATCAACGTACCGGAAAGTGTGTTTTGAAAGGATTCAGGATTATGCGGGTGCAACAATTGCGTTTGTTCGCTGTGTTGAAGTCCCAGCAATGGCGTTCTGGCACGATTCAGGATCGTCAAGACGCAACAGTCTGGTTGATCTTTGGCGTTGGAATCCCGAAAACAATGGTTTGACATGCTTCAGGGTCATGGAAATGAACCGTTGTAGGGGCCTATGAAGAGGGATCTTGGAGGGAGGGTTCATTCCAACATCGTTGATGACTCTTGGGTGTACACTGGTCCTCCTCCTTTTCCTCTTCCTCCTCTTTTTCCTCCTCCCTTCTCTCCTTTTCTTCTTCCTCCTCCTCCTCCTCCTCCTTCCTCCTTCCTCTCTTCGTGTAACTTCGTAGATGTCTCGCGTTGCATGTGCCAAGACACGCCAGAATCCAGAGGCCACGGCGTCACCACCTGGCCTCGGACGTCTGTTCGCAGCGGCGGTCGTTCCTTCGTTCGTTCCTGGAGATCCAGCGCGTGTGCGCTCGTTCTTCCGCTGTTGCTTCCTCGTTCTCGCTCTTCCTGTTTTTCTCTGCAGTTTTTTGTCGTCTCTCTCTCTCTCTCTCTCTCTGCGTTGGCTGCGCGCGCACGCCGGCAGAGCGGCGCTGTGGCCCCCGCCCGCCTGCCGAGGGAGCAGCGTGCGCCGTCCCTCCGCCTTCCTGCCGCCAGGCGCGCGCCCCGCGTGGTGCGCGGGGCCCGCCCTGCCGTGCCTTTCGCGCAGGCCTTGGCTGCGAGGACCTCGGCGCGGTCCGCTGCGGCCTCTGAAAGCAGCCCTGGCGCGGCCTCAGCGCGGACCCGGGGATCCACGGAGGGCGTCGAGGCCTCTTCGCGCTCGCGAGGACATCAGCGCGGCCCCAACGTGGCTTCGACGCGGCTTCGACGCGGTGTCCATTCGGACCGAGGGCTTTTCCATCGTGGGCAGCGCGGGCCTGAAAGCTTAGAACGGGAATGCTGCTGCAGGACGCCCAATCGGCGGATAGAACAGGATTTAACGCGACAGGACGGGATGCCTGGGGAAGGGGTAAGGTGTCGGAGTTGGCGCGAGCGCATCTAGCTTGTCGCTTGCCCGTTCCCCCTCTCCCTGTCCCTCGTTCCCTCTTCTGCACTGTCTTCCTCTCCGCCTCTCCCGCTTCTTTGTCCCCGCGTGCCCCGCTGCGTCCCTCGCTCGCCCCCTCCTGCCCGTCGCTCTCGTCGATCCCCGCCCCCGTTCCCCCCGCCTCCCGCTCCCCCCCCCCCTCATCCGAGTCGGGGAAGGAGGAGGCGGAGGACGAGCATGAGGAGGAGGCGGAGGACGAGCATGAGGAGGAGGCGGAGGAGGAGGAGGAGGAGGCGGAGGAGGAGGAGGCGGAGGAGGAGGAGGAGGAAGAGGAGGAGGAGGAGCGGCTGGGAGGGGCGGCGACGGCGAGAGGCTGAAGGGTGGCCCGTCTGGGAAGAAGCTCGAGTTCAAGGCTCTGATGATGATCGGGCTGCCCCGCGCCGTCGACGCCGCGGATCTGGCCGGCTCGATCAGCAACAGGCCCCCCGTCCTCCTCGTTCGCGTGCGCCCGCCGCCCCTCCCACGTCCTGCTCCGCAGCCTCCCACCTCTCTCCCGCCTGCCTCCTCCTGCATCCCCGCTTCCATCCTCTGCGTGCTCCCTCTTCTCCCTCCTCTGCTCTCCTCGATCCTCCTGGCTCTCCGCCCCCGCTCCCCGGTCGCCTTCTCCCGCGTCCTTCCCCCCTCCCCCCCGTGCCCTTGCAGACTGCCCCTCTGCCCCACCCTTGCTGCAGGCACCTCTACGCCAGCTGCCCGCTGCCCATTGACGAGCCCGAGCCTGAGCGCCGCGTGGACGAGGCCGCTGAGCACTGCCGTCCTCCGAATCAGGGAGGGTCGGCCACGCGCAGAGGGGGGTAGGGGAGGGAGGGAGAGCTTCTTGGAAGCACCCCCTGCTTCTCAGAAGGTGCGGGCCTCGCCTTTTGATGTAGGGCCAGTGCCTTCTAAGAAGCAGCCTCCTTCCAGGAAGCCTTCCCCCCCTCCCCCTACCCCCCTCTGCGCGCCGCCAAGAGGGGAGAAAGGGGCGACCGACTCGCTCCCACGCCACGCCGTTCGCTCTGCTGTCGGCTGTTCCTGTTGAGTTTGCCCTTCTCGCGCCCAGCGCGAATCCAAGTATCCACGCGCATGTTCAGAAGTCTGCACGGAAGCAGCTTGCGTCGCGCAAAAAGAGGCCTTGCCCCAGGTCCTGTGGGCGACTGGCCTACTCAAGTCGCATCCGATGCAGGCTTGTCTCGTTAGCAGCCGCCGATGACGTTGGAACCCTCGGTGGCCCAGAGTCCGCCTTGTACCGACGGGCGTCGGCGGATAAACATATTGCAACGATCGGACGACTTCCGGATATCATCGAAGGTCATGCGGGCGACCAGCGTCCTCAGGTCGATGCCTTACGTGGCCGGCCTGACGTGCTTCACAGACGTGGTGACCAAGTCGCTCCCCCCCTCCGTGCTGCGGAAGGCCGTCGCCGAGACGTTCTCCAGGCACTCGCTCCTCGTCACCTGCGTCCCGGGGACCACGGTGCCGATTTCCTCCGGCTCGTCTTCCTCCTCGTCGTCATCGCTGTCGTCCTCGTCGCCGTCATTTTCCTCCTCATCCTCCTCCTCCCTCCTCCTCCCTCCTCCTCCTCCTCCTCCTCCTCCTCCTCCTCCTCCTCCTCCTCCTCCTCCTCCTCCCCCACTAGGGTATTGACAGGGGTGTCCCTGGCCTTCTTAGGCCAAGGGCACTTCTATCAACGCCCGATCCTCTTCTCCCACTGCCTCTTATCTCCTCATCAAGGAACAGGGACTACCGCCCCCCCCCGGAGGGCTGGGATCACAGGGGGGTCTGCGGCGGTTATGGTGTATACTTGCTGGGAGCTTCCGCGGGGGCACCATGCACGTATGTCTGCGCCCCACAAGTCGCAGGCGGTCATGGTAGTTTGCATGTTCCTCCTCCTTCTCCTCCTCCTTCGCCTTCGCCTCCTTCTTCTCCATCTCCTTCTCCTCCTGGGTACCGATCACGTTTCCCAAGAACGGCGGCACTGTCGTCCAGGAGGTCCAGATGGTGTTCCCGAACATCATTCCGCAGGTCTCGGTCTTATCCCTTCTCCTGCTTTGCTGGTTCTCTTCGCCCTCCTCCTTCGAGAGAGGGAGAGAGAGAGAATGTGCGCGTCCATCGCCACCAAGCCCATCTGGGCCTAATTTGGGCCCAGGTCTTGGTGGATATCTGCTCCTGGCCAGGGTGGGGAGCCAAATCTGTCGAGATCTTGCCCCCGACGGGTCTATAGAGACTTGGCCTATGGTGGCCTCTTCCCCTTGCTCCCCTTCCTCCTCCATGCCTGTCTCTCCTCGTCCTCTTCCCTTGGAGAGGGTAGACAGGAACGGGCACTCAACGTCTACGCACCTCTGCGGCGGCGAGGGTGGAGGTCGTGTGGGACACGTGGAGGCTTCGTTGCTGATGCGCGGGCAGGACGCCAGGCTCATTCGTTTGCCTCTCCCCCCCCCCGGGGACCGTGAACCATGCACTGGATCCATCCTGGCCTGACCAGGGTCGGCATGGCCAGGATCGGCATTGGTGTACAGCTGGTGTCCTCCTCCTGGGGGGAGGGGGATATGGGAGGGGCAGGAGGAGGAGGAGGAGGAGGAGGAGGAGGAAGCGGAGCGAAGCGAAGCGAACGCCGGAGGTGTGCGTGCTCCTACGGGGAGCACGCCCGTGCCCATTAGGGCATGGCGTGGAGGCCGTCGCCTTAAACATGTGAAACACAGGCGGACTCACGTGATAACCACCACTCAGTGCTCCCAGCCGCTGATAACCACCGCAGGTCGTTTGTGCTGTTGTGTTGGTGTTGTCGTGGTTGGGTCGCTGCTCGGATCTGCTCCTGCCCGGTGTCGGTGTCGCAGTGATGCCCGTCCCATCGTTTTTGTTGCCCTCCATATTGCCGTCGTCCTTGTTGTCGAGTGTTGAGATCTGGGTTCCAATTAAGCACTCTCTGTGTCCAGCGTGACGAAGGGTGAAGAGCCACCGTATTTGCCCAGCGCCAGGCCGTCCTTCGGTGCAGGTGGAGTACATCGGATATACCATGTTTCAGCATCAATGTCTCTGCTCTCCGAGTACTCCTGCGGATGAAGTCGAATCACAATTCGACGTCCTCGTTCTGCGTATTGCCTGGTTGCGTGCTCTCGTCGTCGCTGACGCCGTCCTGCGCGTTGGGCTGGTGTGCAGGTGGGTTGCTGCAAACGTCGGGCTTGCTGGAGTCGTTTGGTGCTGTGCTGCTGGTGTCGTTGTGATTGTCTGGGAATGTTTCTGCATTGTGTTATGGTGTCGGTGTCGCTGCCGTGCGTCTCCTTGGTGTTCCGATTATGTTTAGTACCATCCGTCTTTGTGTTCTGCGTAACTGCTGCTTGAGAGGTTCTGTCAACGTCCATGTCTCTGCTCCGTACGTCATAGTAGGGATGACGGTGCCCCTGTATAGGCGTAGTCGGCGTCGCAGTAGATGGTGCTTGCTGCTGGTGAGTTCTTGTCTGTGGCTGCAGAAACATGCCCATGCTGCTTGAATCCGGTGCTTTATTTCGGTTCCGGGTGCGTCGTGGAAAGTAATGGCTTGGCCCATGTAGGTGATGGTGTTTGTTCGTGGTAATATGACGATGTCCATTCCTGCTACTATAGCTTTTCGGTCGCGGTGTCGAGGCCGATTGGTCATGATTTTGGTCTTGGTCGGGTGCAATCCAGTCCGTGGTGTTTCGCTGCGGTGATTAGGTCGGAAATCATTGCTCTTAGGTTGGGCAGTGTTTGGTTTGTGAGCAAGATGTCATCTGCGAACAGAAGGTTCGTGAGTGTCGCCGCGTCGGTGTGTCCCAGTTGGACGCCTTGGTGTTTCCTCTGCCAAACTGAGATCACCGGTGCTAAGCCGTGTTGCAGAAATGCATTGAATAGCCATGAGTTCAATGATTGAATAGCAATGAGCAGTGAGGAGGAGAAGGAGGAGGAGGAGGAGGAAGAGGCGGTGGAGGAGGAGGGGGAGGAGGAGGAGGAGGAGGACCAGTCGAAACCGAAGACTCAACGATGATATTGTTATACACGTTTCCTCCAGGTTCTCTCTTCACAGGCTTCTTCAAGGATTCATTTTCATTGAGGGAAGCGCCCCGTTGGAAGACAACCGCTTGAACATGCTGAACTGTGCCAGGACAGCATTCCTGGGATTTTATCGCCGCGAGTCACCGGTCTTGAATCGCGCCAGAACACCATTCAGAGGACTTCAACACTCGAATCAACTTAACGGTTGCGCCCTGACAGTCCGACATCGTGCCAAGAAAACATCATGGGATGCAAGGAATGAACGCATTTGAAGTTGCTGTAAACTCTTCAAACGAATATGCGCGTGGCAAATGCGATAGCCACAGCTTGAATCATTACCGCCCTCCGTCCGTGAAGCTCCTGATTCTTTAAGACGAACATCCGCGGCGTTAAGACGAGAGCCAGATTTTGAAAACGGCCCGCCCTCCGTCCGTGAAACTCTTGCAACTGCTTAAGACCAATGCGCGCGGCGCTAAGGCGGGAGCCAGATTTTGAAAACGGCCCGCCCTCCATCCGTGAAGCTCCTGCAAATGTTGAAGACCAGTGTGCGCGGCGCCAAGGCGAGAGGTACTTTTCAAAAACGGCCCGCCCTTCATCCGTGAAGCTGTTGCCAATTTTCAAGATTCAGGATCATTTTTGGTTGGGAAATCCTAAACGAAACGCCCAGCCCGCCCTACGGACATGCCGCGGGGTGGGCCAGGGAGGAGTTATGTATGTGTATATATTTATAAAGAAAAAGGATGGTAGAGGAGGAGGAGTATGAGGAGGAGGAGGGCTAGGGGGAGGGCCAGGAGGAGGTGAATGCAGACGGGGAAGGGGGGGGAGGGGAAGGCGAGGAAAGCTAGGCACGTGGTGTACACAGGTGGCGCGTCGAATCCCCAACCGCTCCCCTTTTCCTTCTTGTTGCTTCACCCCCTTCTCCTGTCGATAGCCCCTCAGGTCTCGATCATCACGTACGACGGCAGCGTGCACGCGAACTTCGTGGCAGACCCCGCCCTCTTCCCGCGACCGCAGGACCGATCCGAGATGCCCGAGCAAGCGCTTGCAGGCGCTGAAAGATCCCCATGGATATTTGGGCCAGACGCTTCGCTCGAGAGTCCCTGACCACCTGCGCTCCTGAAGATAAACAACTCCAACATTTACGCGAATGGAGAACATGCCGTTTCCAAAGTGCGGCCTCGCCATGGCGCCGCGCACGACTGAAATAGCATGTTACAACAGTTATGCGGATGGAACTTGATTCGTTTTCAAATTGAGTCTCTCGCTTGAGTCTTCACCAATTTATACGACCCGAAGTGTCAAATGGTGTTGCAGCCGCATGGATGGAGGCCGGCTTCTCGTCAGCACGGGATTCGATTGTTATTCCAACGTACTATATGATCAGAGCATCGAAGTTGCGTAGCCCTAGGCGGTTGGAAGGCATATCCATCCTTGACAAAACGAGGTCTCCCTTGGGCGGCAGGCCCACCCGGCGCTCGTCATTCAAGGGGGGCGTTGCCTGCAGTGGATTGGAACATTTTCAGGGATTCATGAGGGGATGTGGGACGGGAAGGTGTATTGCAGCATCGTTGGCGCATCCTGGGCGCATTCCAGTCCTCCTTCTCTTCATTTATCTTTCCCCTTCCGAAGAAGCTTTGTCCCGTCTTTCTGCAACAAGCGTTCTTGTCTACATATCCCGAGCCCTGACCTCCGACGTCGTGCATTTCTTAATCCGTAGGCCCAAGAGCTTCGACCCCTCGCCCAGGACCGCTTTCTCGTCGCTGGCTGTTCTCTGGCAGCCCTCTTGTGTCCAGAAATCACGGGCAAATTCTCACCGCTCCGCGCATCCCCGAAGACACATCCAGGAACGATGCCTAGGGGAGTTGCCCGTATAGGGAGGGGGCGTGGCATCATTTGGAAATCTCAGGGAGCCTCAGTGAACTGGAGGCCTCTTGGATGCCCCTCGGAGTCGCGGACTCTTGCTGGTTTCTCGGGGCGTGTTGTGGGCCTCTGGGGGGCTCCTGCGGGCCTTTGGGGGCGTCTCGGGGGCCCCTGGGGGCCTCTTGGGGGCTTCGCAGGGGCCTCTTTGAGACCATGCTGGAAGACCTCGATCAGAGAAGGCGGGTACCTTAATTGGCACTTCCCCTCGAAAGTACGTAAAATCGTGTCTTTGGGACTCCCTTGGGGCGTTCTCGGGACTCTCCTGGGCGCTCTCGGGGCAGTTGTTGTTCCCTCTTGTGTCCGATTGGATTAATCTTGAGCTCTCGGACTGCCATCGGAAGCGAAACGACGACAAGGCCAACATACGCAATTACCCTCATATTCTGGACAGATGTTTGCCTCTTGAGGACGTCATGCGTCAGCTCCAAGGCCAATTGGACCCGTTTTGGAGCGGTCTTGGGATCTCTTGGAGTATGCTGGACGCCATCTTGATCGTCCTTGTGTTATCTTGAGCCATTTTGGAGGCCCTCTTGTGCTCTCTGAGGCCCTCTTGGAGCCATCATGTGCCATCTTGGACGCTCTGGCTACCCGAGAACCCCCCTGTTCAGCCGCAGGGGGAGGGATGGAGCCTGGACGCGAATAGGGAGGAGGAGCCTTCTTTCTCCTCTTCCTCATCATCGGCCCCTCTCGCCCCGTTGCCGCCGCCAGCCGGCCGC